TGCTCCCAAGAGACCAAGACGAACACGTCCAAGTCAAAGTTATTATTGAGTCTTAATTTTTTGCCACTTTCTTCCAAAAGCTCATCTTCTTTCCATTCCCCCCCCCTCGGCTTGCAGTGTGTTTTAAGGATCTGAGGTATTTCGGCTGCCATTTATCACCTGTGTTAAATGCCATCTGTCATGTTGAGAAGTCTCCAGGGATGTTTTTAATGACAGGGAAGTGCTTCTAGGAGATAGAGCCATCCTTCAGTGCACTGTCTCTCCAGGGTAACGAGGCAGCTACACCCCAGAGTGATCAATATCCAACCTTTACATTAACATCTCCGGAAAATTAAACTGACGGCCCCCCCAAAAAAGACTATTTTGATGCTGATGTATCAGCAAGCCAAAATGTGTTTTAAAGCTGTAGGTGTAATGTTGTAATTTGTGACAAGTGACAGCAAAATTTTAAAAAAAGTGACGGCACAGAGAAGCAGAGACAGGAGTCAAGAGGAGGGGAGGGGAGTTACCTCGGTGTAAACCCTCTTTCCCTTCGCATGCTTGGAAAGCCATTTCAGAGAGCAGCAGAAAGCCTAACAGCACACTAAGCACTCCAGGTCAGCCAGAGTTGAACATCATCTTCTCATCATCATATTTGTGCTCAAGCTAAATAATAAATGGCAGTTTTTTCTCCCTCTCCTTCCCACTGTAGAGTAAGAGAGGTCACCTTACATGCCAGGCTACAAACTGCCTTTTTAAAGCAATGTGAAGATTTTCCAAAAATAAAACTTTGCACCCCACCCCTTCCCCGCCTTTTAAGTTGTGTCTGTTTCCCCTGAGCTTTGGTATAAACTTTGGAGCACTTAAATTAAAAAAAGTTCTTCCAGCCTTGCCCCAATTTAAGACTGACACGACCGGCCAGAATGACGGCTCAGAGTATTTGAGGATGGATTTTTGTAATCCTTTGCTGGCAGAACAGGGAGACCACATTAAAGACCTAAATCTTTTTTTTTAAACCGTACTGCTCTGTCTTTTCAAGCTGAATCGTTTATTACGATTACCAGAGGAGGACCCTAGACGGTGTCGGCGAGATCATTGGAACCTGACGGAGGTATTTTTAGCTGGATGATGAAATGTGTGCATAGGTGTGCATGTGCAGAGAAATGAGGTGTGAACTGACCTTGGTTAAGGGTGGAGGTGCTGTTGATGTCACCTGAGATAAAGGAGGACTCGGATTGCTTTCTTACGGTGTCATTCCACATTCTCCTGATACGACTCTGTCAGGTCAACAAGGGACAGTCATTAGGACTTTAAACAAGCCCGTTCACCTTTCAGATCAACTTTCATTCGATTTCCCTCGACGTGCTGCAGACTATAAAACAAACCTGCTAATGTGCAGCGAGGCAAGAGCAGTAGGAACCGCTCAATCCCTCTGTATGAGTTTTCAAAAACTAATTTTATGTAAGTCAACTTCTGAACAACTTCAGCTCCAGTTATGACTCTTTACAATAGGCTGGAGGCTGAGACGGGGATGCTTCTCTATAAGTTACATCTGGAAGTATTGTCTGCTAAGGTCTATTAGCCTTTAATAAGAACCGGAAAAGGTGAGGACAAAGTTGTTGTTTTCTTCTTTGTAATTTTGGCTCTCCCTGTAGTAAAAAGTGCCTGCAATGCTCTTTAAACAGTGCAATGCTTATTTCCTCCCCATGCACATGGCGTTAGTGAAAAAGGATAAAAGCAAGAGCTAAAGGGGCCAGAACAGAAGAAAGGTACATGCAGTACAGCAGATGCTGCTTGTAAAAAAGTGGGATAATGTTTGTGTCTTCTCGTCTTCCTCTGAGGTTCAGATGCAGAAT